AGCAGCAGCAGCAGCAGCAGCAGCAGCAGCAGCAACAGCAGCAGCAGCAGCAGCAGCAGCAGCCGCAGCGGGGATGTGGCAGTGGTAGAATTCCTGATGCTCCGTTGACGGACCTCGGGAGGCAGCAGGCATCTGCTGCAGGTGCATGGCTGCAGCAGCAGCAGCAGCAGCAGCAGCAGCAGCAGCAGCCGCCTAATGCAGCAAACCCACGCATAGCAGCAATCGTTGCTTCGCCCATGCTGCGGGGTGTACAGACAGCTCGTGAGCTGCAGCAGCAGCTGCAGGTCCCCGTTATAATTCATCCGTTGCTGTTTGAGGCGGGGGGCCTCTTTGAGGGTGAGAGAGAAGCAGCAGCAGGAGCTCGGACTCACGTGGCAGCAGATGCAGGAAATCTGTCCTGGGGCTGTCTTAGCTGCTGGGGTGAGTTGGCCTGCTGCAGCAGCAGCAGCAAGAGGGTCTCCAGCAGCAGCAGCAGCAGCAGCAGCAGCAGGAGTTTCTGATGGCAGCAGCAAAGCCCAGGGGCATGTATCTGACGGTTGCAGCAGCAGCAGCAGCAGCAGCAGCAGCAGTTCAGCAGCAGCAGTTGATGCTCCTCTTGGGGGAGGGTACTGCGCAGAGGGCCTCCGCAGGGGGGCCCCCTGGTGGCGGGGCCCCCGGGAGACGCTGCTGGGTACAGTAAGGCGGCTGCTGCTGCTGGTGCGGTGGATAGACAGTGTGAGTGCGCATGCTAGCTGTACATACACTGCAGCAGCAGCAGCAGCAGCAGCAGGAGACGCAGCAGCAGCAGCAGAAGGGGACCCCCTAGCTGTCACAGGAGATGCAGCAGCAGCAGCAGCAGCAGCAGCAGCACTAAGAGGCGATGGCGCGCTGCTGCTTGTAGGTCACGGGCTGCTGATGGATTTGCTGCTGAAGGCGTTTGTTGCTGCTCCTGCTGGCGGCATTTGCTGCTGCTCTTATCTGGAGCAGCAGCAGCAGCTGCTGCTGCAGCAGCTGCAGCAGCAGCAGCAGCAGCAGCAGCAAAACGGCTGCTGCCGCACCGCAGACGCTCTCTATGTCCCCCCGCAGCAAACCGTTTATTTTCTCTCCCCCAACTGCGCTGTCTCCTGCATCGACGTCATCCTGCAGCAGCAGCAGCAGCAGCAGCAGCAGCAGCAGCAGCAGCAGCAGCAGGAGCGGGAGCAGGTGGTATGCAAGCGTGCGCCTGGGGACGAAGGCTGCAGCTGCTGCTGCTGCTGCAGCAGCTGCAGCAGCAAAGCATATCGCCGCACAGTGGGTGTGGTCTACTGGGGCCTCCAGGCGGTACCCCCCAGCCTCTTCACTGGCCACGCGCTAGGCTCAGCCCCAGTTGTCTCCATCTGAGGGGCCCCCCACTGGGGGCCCCCACTGGCTGGGGGGCCCCCCAGTCTCTATGGCTGGGGGGCCCCCCAGTCTCTGTGGCTGAGGGGCCCCCCAGTCTCAATGGCTGGGGGGCCCCCCAGTCTCTGTGGCTGAGGGGCCCCCCAGTCTCTCTGGCTGGGGGGCCCCCAGTATCTGTGGGGCCCCCTCAGTCTCTGTGGCTGGGGGCCCCCCAGTCTCTGCGGGGGCCCCCTAGCCTCTATAGGGCCCCCCCAGTCTTCATAGGGGCCCCCTAGTTTCTGTGGGGGTCCCCTGGTCTTTGTAGGGGCCCCCTAGTCTCTATGGGGCCCCCTAGTCTCCATAGGGGGCCCCCCGTCTTTGTTGGCTGCCCCTTAGTCTTTATAGGGGCCCCCTAGTCGCTCTAGGGGCCCCCCAATCACCCTAGGGGGCCCCCAGGCACGCTAGGGGCCCCCTGGCACTCTAGGGGCCCCCTGGCTGTGCAAGGGCCCCCCCCTATCTCACTAGGGGCCCCCTTGCTCTGCTGGGGCCCCCTTGGCTCTGCTGGGGGCCCCCTGGCCCTGCTAGGGGCCCGCTGGCTCTGCTGGGGCCCCCCTGGCTCTGCTGGGGGCCCCCCAGGCATTCTATGGGCCCCCTGGCTCCGCTCGGGGGCCCCCGGCAGAGCTGGGGGCCCCCTGGCTGTACTCGGGGCCCCCTGGCTCTACTAGGGGCCCCTGGCTTTGCTAGGGGCCCCCCGGCTGTGCTGGGGGCCCCCTGGCTCTAACTGGGGGGCCCCCAGGTTTGCTAGGGGCCCCCTGGTATATTGCTAGGGGCCCCTTAACGCTTATGGGGGCCCCCTGTTGTTTTTGTGTTTGTTTGTTTGGTTAGGGGGGCCCCCTTCCGTTTCTGTTTTGTTTATAATAAAAATATAAATAAAATAATATAATAAAGACGAGGATTATAATTACTATAATTATAATAAAAAGAAAAAAAGAATAAAACTAAAAAATAAAAAATAAATAAAAAAAAATACAACTATAGTAGATGTGGTATTTTATTTATTATTTATTTTGTTGTAGTATATTTATTATTATTTTGTTTGTATTTTATATTTATTATTATATTTATTATATTTTATTTATATATATTTATTATATTTTATTTGTATTTTATATTTATTATTATATTTATTATATTTTATTTATATATTATATTTATTATTATATTTATTATATTTTATTTATATATTATATTTATTATTATATTTATTGTTATTTTATTTATATATTATATTTGTTATTCATTTGTTATAATGTTATATTTATTATTTATTTATAATTATATTATATTTATTATTTTATTATATTTATTATATTTATTATTTATTTATAAATATATTATATTTATTATTTTATTATTATATTTGTTATCTATATATAACTAAATTATATTTATTATATTATTATTTTATTATTATATTTATTTATTATATTATATTTATTATTATTTTTATATTATATTTATATTATAAATTTTTATTTTATTATTTTATTTTATTATAATATATATTACTACTATAACAGTACAGCCATAGCAGTTGCAGCTACTATAAAATAAAAATAAAAATAAAAATAAAGAAACAAAGAAGATAAATAAATATAATAATAAATAAATAAATAAATAAATAAAATAAATGAATAAATAAATAAAATAAATAAATAAATAAATAAATAAAAAAGAAATAATAAAATAAAAAGATGAA